CGCGCTGTGCTTCGCGAGTCTACGTTCCTTACTATTTACTACTTATCGTCATTTATAATGTTTACTATTTTACTTGTATACTTATTTTTATTGTGTATTTATTTATTTATTTATTTACCTATTTATTTATTTATTTATTTATTTATTAGATGTGGGAACGATTATGCATGAATTTTTCAGGACGTAAATTTTGTAAATCGATTACTGTGAAAAGATTTTCGCTGTATCGAAAAACATCTATGTTTCTTTTCTACTAATAACGTCGTCGGATTACTTTGAACAAACATGTATACGCGATTATGAATGCAATAAAAAGAATTAATCAATTATTGATGCAATTTATTCTTGTTTTTTATTGTATCCCGTTCGCTTTTGTAGCTTTTCATAACAAAGTACTGTCTGAAATTACCATGGCATTCTTCAAATTCTAAAAAAACACAACGAGAAGAAGACATTGAATCGAAAACATTCAATAAATGCTAATTCGACATCCAGATAAAATTTATGTATTCTATGAATTTATAAATTATTTTAGGTATAATTACACGAAAAAAAAGGATTTTGCAGTACACTCCCTCACAGCACCGGATTATATTACATTAAAGTTATAGGATGGTTACAATCTTACATAGTTTTGTGTGGAAAGGTTATTGGTGTATGCCACTAACTTTACAATGTAATTTTACTTTATGATATTGTTGGAAGGTTAATGGAATCTTGTGTCAATATTTCAGCAACCTTGTATGAATCTTATATCTTAATATTGTTGGAAGATTAATGGAATCTTATGTCAATATTTCAGCAACCTTGTATGAACCTTATATTTTAATATTGTTGGAAGGTTAATAGAATCTTGTCAATGGGCACGTTCAAGTTGACAAAGCGGCTAGCCTGCTCGCCGAGCAAATAAACATAATTGGTTATTACTTAGATCCAACCAATCATATTCGATTGCTCAGCAAGCGTACCTAGCCGCTTTGCCGTCTTGAACTCGTCCAATATTTCAACTCTTATGAATATAATCGCTCTATAGATTTTTGGTACTGGCAATAAATTTTGGACACGCAGTCTCACTATACTAATATATATATACCCAGATAATCAAGCATGCGGTAATGCTAAATATGTACTGAGAAAGTATAGCGTATGATTGCTTAACCTGAAAATAGTCGTTAAAATTAACATTAAAATTAAATATTAGATAGTAACTGACTGGATGTTCAGTTGAACTGCACAAATTTCTATCAGGACCATATATTGAAGAGATGTATCATAGCTATACACCCATGATTATACAGGTGTTCGTGGATTATTGAAGTGCAGCGGTTTTCAGACGGTTTGAGAAGTCAAGGATAGTAAATGGTTGGTATGCAATCGGATGGGTGACCGTTTCGAAGTACTATGAAATTAGTTTCCGAATTCAGGGAAAAATTTTTTTTTAAATCATAATTTTATGATATGTATTCTGGAATAAGATATTAATCAATAATACTCATTTTAGCAATATATATATATATATATATATATATATAAAAGTTTAATGTTACAATCTTACAAGGTCCTTGGCACATTGTAGGAATATTAATACAACCTATCATGCAAGGTTTCTGGGATGTTAATGTAATCAGTTTGGATGATCATTTTCATGTTACTGGGAGGTTTAATGGTAGATTTATTAATCTCCGTTTAATGTTACAATCTTACAATTTAAAGTTACTGTAACCTTATTTCAATGTTGATGTGCTGTGAGGGTATGATATCGATAGTAAACGATGTAGTAAAGTGATGTGTTGCTTTATAGTAAATCGTATGTGTGTATATTTTATAGTTAGTAAATTCGGAATTTTTATATATTTGATGTTTTTTAATTTCCCTAGCTTAGAAAGGGTATATAGATTTAGATCGATTAATTACTAACATTTTTGTATTAGAATCTTTGTCTTTAAAATTATTTGAGGAACACGTTCTTAAAAAATAATCCGGTAGTTGTATACAGGACATCCTGTATAGTAAAATGAGAGAGAGAAAGAGAGAGATTTCTGTTCGTAACAACCTATCGAGGAGGGACTGTCGGGCCAATTGTACTTAGTACTACTTATAATACGGGAAAAGGCAACAACATACTACATGATTCAACCTGAAGCAATTAATATCTACATTACTAAGCGGAAGACTAATTTCTATTCTCCTGCAATGAGTTTATCAATCAAAAATTACAAATTATTTGAAAATGACACAGGTCATTCCACTCAGATGGATCGAAGTGTTCGAGCTCCTTCAAGTAAAACGAACGAAAAATATAAACAGGAAACGATAATGCAGTCGCAATGATAGAAATAAATCTAGCGATTCAATCACAATTCACTATAAAGAAATTCGGCTTGACTTTTGATTAATGTCCAATATGGTTATCCAATATTTATCTGGTAGATATGAATTTGATTATTTGACAAACTTATATGCAGTTGACGTAGTCTGACGTATAGTCAGCAACTAAAAGGTCACAACACGTTTTTTTTAAATGAGTTTCGGAATGTAGTCATCAAGCGATTCGTTATTACTTATATAAATAAGAACCAATCGCTCGGTGAGCTGCATTCCGAAACCTATTAATAAAATGACTGTATGATACATATATGTATCATATCTAACAATATTGATCATGTTTCAAATTTACTGCCAGCACTAAAAAACTATAGTTGGACGTTATGTGCGTTATAGATTTTCAGTACGACAGTTTTACTAAAACATGTTTAATTGCTCCTTCTACTATCGCACAATTATTTTTTTATTCTACGTAGATTCATTAACGTTTCGTATGAATCGCCCACCCAATGTATTAAGTTTCGTCAGCATCGCTTCAAATCAATGAAATTAATCGCAATAAGTTTATGAAATTCATCCGTATCTTTTCTGCACCCATTCCTTCTTGCGTAGTTCTCACATTTTTAAGCAAGAATGTCATTTTTATTGATGTTGCAAGGTTACCACACTTGCGCACAGATTTCGTCATGTTACGTTAACATATATATTCTCAGCTTCAGTAATTATCATAATGGAAAAAATATATGCTAATAAAAAAGCTTTCAATTTTGAATATATAATTAATATATACAGATACGTTGTGTGTGTGCATTAATTTTTATTTAAAAAAAAGAATATGTTCACGGAAAAATATAATATATGGTACATACCATATATATCGTCGTTAGGCACATAATGTTCTAAAGTTTGTCATACATCAGTCTTGCTTCCGTTTTATTATATGTCGCGCGATAAGATTTAATGATTGAAATATAATAAGAGATTAATGCAGGAAGTAAGAAATAAAAATGAGAAATCGTAAAGAGCAGTAAAGTGATTTCGTAATGATACATTGCGTGACTCGTCTGATGGTGTCTAATTTCTATATAACGAAAGTTCGTGATTAGAGCAAAAATTCAAAAGTGACAATGTAGCGCATTAGCGCGATTTCATAATACTGCAATATAAAATAATAAAAATATATTGAAATTATATTCATCTTAACGAGAAATTTTATTATTTTAAATAAAAGACATATTAAAGAGAAATATAAAAAAAAATATTAAAAGAAGAAAGAAGAATATTAAAAAAAATATTGCACAAGGGGGTCATATGTATTAAAATTATACTTAATACCTAAAACAAAATTATATCTTAAACAATATATAATATTAAAATTGAGAATTAAAATTATCATAGCTAATTGAAGTTATAATTTTCTCACAGCATTTGGATGAGCAGTTCTAAATGAACATAATTATCGGATAAGGCGCATAAATTATTTATATGTCCATGCCCAATTAAAATCTTATATCAAAATGAGGTCAAAAGTTCATTTTCTCATTTTTACGAAATTACCAGTTGCGTTTAATTTATTTCTTAACGAGAATTTCTGGATCGTTATCGAATTTGTATATGGAGTACTTGTTAAATCAGACTATGAGAAATGAATATTTTGTACGTCTTATGCACTTTGACATCTATAAAAAAAAGTTAAATATATTACGTAGAAGATGAGGAGGACGTACTAGACTGAACTGGAAAATCCGGTTATTACGTAGATTTTCCGACAGCACACAGTGGGCATAAAGTCGCTTTTTGTGATCAAAAAACGTTCGACGGTTGAATTCTCTATCGATTGCAATAAATTTTTTTAAAATACTCATTTACTGTACTATAGCGAAAATTTACACGCTTTTTAATGTTGCAATTTGTTAATTAACAAAAATTGTAAATTTATACTAACTTTTTGGCAAACATTTCTCTCTTAGTGTGTTCATAATTCCTTCAATCTTAATATTTGAGGATTTTGGGGGTTGCTCTGATTACGAAACCGTCACTTAAATTTCAAAATTCAAAATGGCGGATCCAATATGGCGACCGCGAACTGGAAATGTGAAGATAAAATTTGATATATATTCCATCTTAACGAGATATATAGTAGTTGTAATTATATTAACGGCAATAATTTTAATGTAAAGTAATAAAGAGTACACAAAACACACTTCATACTTTTAAATTATTTTCCAAATGCGTATAGCGTTACTCAGAATTAAATACGTTTAGCGTTATATACTCAGAACTAAAGACGTGGATCTAACAAGCTTACAGTTTTATTTTTGTTTCTTTTTCGTTTTTTTAATTTTATTTTTAGAGAGATAAAAAAAGAGACGTTGGAATACATAAACGCGGCTATCTTTTATTAACATAAATTATTGTTATTAACAATAATTTAGAGAACATATTGAACAACGAACGGCAAATTTTTTTTGCGATACGATATCCTACCAGATAAAATCCTACGAAGGTTGCCAAAGGTATTCTCGTATCTGGAATAATTCAGTTTGATGCAATTTGATCAAAAGCGATTCAACGGCGGGTGTAAAAGCGTTAATGCCGCACGTGATATGGGGAGGGGGACACGTATATATATAGTGACGTTTGCTACTCTGACTTAATAGTTCACACATAACAAACCAGAGAACCTTTTAAAAGAATTTAATCGTTTAAGCTCATCAAAAGAAACGTTTTTTCTTCCGTCGCCCGTTGAGATTTCTCCCTTCATTGTTGACCGGAAATACGATCGAAATGAGATACTTGTCGATGACGATCTGCGTCCTCGTAGCATTCGCGCTGCCGAAATCTACCTGTGGACATCCTGCGACTGACAACGGCAGGTAATCATTTATTTTATACGTGTATGTTCGCAAAAATATCAGTTGATCGTGGAAAGTCGGGAAATCGACATTTTGGTATACAGTCTTATTTCAACGATAGAATTGACTTTCGTTTGGTTCTTACGAAAAAATACATTCTTGGCGAACCGAAATAACACCTAATTGAGTGTTAACTCCCAAATAAATCTTCAACTTGAGGATCAACCCTCAATTTGAGTGTCATTTCGAACCGCCAAGAGTATATTTTTTCGTAAGGGTTTTGACTCTCACGCAAAATTTTCTTACGTACATACGTTGCAGAACAATATTATGAAGATATTGGACATTATTACGTTATGCTGGCGATGGTCCTTTTCAGCATATGTATAAACAATACCGATTGTTTTGTAATAAAAGATACGTCTTTAACAAATTATATTTTTTTAATGAGAGGCAAAAACTGATATATTCTGCATTTTTAAATATGCTATCTTATTCGATAGTTCATTTTTTCTATTTTATATAAGGTTGGTCTTAAATATGCTGGAATCACGTGTTTCAAAGCTAGAAGCTATCTCAGAACCAAAAGCGATCTCGACGTTCATTCCGCAGAAAAATTTGTCGATTCCGACTAAATCGTGAGTTGATTCAGATCCATTTTCTTTCTCTTTTTTTTTTCAATTGCGTTGAATCCATCACACAATCGGCTGCATGTTTACAGACGACAAAGACGCTTGTCGGATCAAAGACTAGCCGAGCTGGAGACGCTAGTGAGTTTGTCAAAACTTTCTCAATCGCTTGTTACGACATCTGGACATGGACAACCAGATCCAAGGATAATGTAAGAAGAATTTAATTAAAAAATCCTACACACATATAATCGATATAGTAAGTGGAGAGAGAGAGAGAGAGAGAGAGAGAGAGAGAGAGAGAGAATATAGAAACAATAAGGATTAATATATTTACGATATTAAAATTTATTTATTCTTTTTCTCCTATAATTTTTATATTTCATATTTTAATTTGACAAGCTACACACACGTGATAATTTTTCGAATTTGTGTATAATTAATCGACGATGTCAATTACAGTGGCCGGCGAAGACGTTTCACGATGAATCAGACTACATCGAGTTAATGTACCTATTAAAGCGAGACATATCGGGAATCGCGTGTGTTCTCTAATTAGGTAAATATTTTATTCTATTATTACGGATTACACACACAAGAACTTCGCTCGCAGATCGCGAATTTTTTTTGTATAATCTGTGTTAATAAGACGTCTTCTGTGGAAGATTGCGAAAAATGAGAGACATGGTGACGAAGATCACGTCTTTTTGCGGTATTAGCGACGCGCTATTTTGCGTACGTAAATCATGGCTTATGATAATTGCATGTATCGTAAATTCGAAAGAGTCATTAGTGTTAACATAAGTCTATACTCCGAGAATAACGCAAGGCTATCGCTGTCACTGTATCAGTGACAAGTCATCGCAACGGTCGTCCGATTCACGACGGCACGGCGCGGCGGCGCTCGTGCCGTTCCTTATCACCGCGCACGCGACATTTCGCAATTATTTCTATTTGTACTAAAAAAATAATGAGCTCCGCTGATTACGTTCTAAGATAGAGGAGAGAGAAAGATTAGAATTTTTATATTTTACATTAATAATTTTAGGAATGTGTCTAATCGTGAAAGCATAATGCCTATCATTTAATGAATATTTACGGTAATTTACTTGCTTTTGATGTACGTATATTACAATTTATTTTATTATATTTTCAGTTGAGTAGACTGATAGCGTCCGAATAATGAAAGCGTGCATTTCGTATCACGATGAATGAGCCTGGTATGTAAAAGGGAATATTCTTTGACACATTTCATTGTTTTACGAAACGATTACTTTAGAAGTTAGCAAAATTACAAAACGAAAATTGTTATATAATGACTGGGGTAGGGATGTACGAAGAAATATTACAGATTTCTTAGATTCAAGTCTGTTGATATTATATAATTTAATCGAATATATTATATATATTATTTATATGTATATATATTATATATTATACGTTATATATATATATTACGTATTATTTATTACTTATTATTTATTATATATTATACATTATACACAGTGTTTCAAAATTTGCGACCGCGGAGTGCAAGACGTGATACTTTATGCTAAAAAAAACATTTTTCTGTAGTAAAATTGCGTCTAATAAGTATTATAGTTTTTGCAGAAAAGTAGATTGAAGTTAACGAGTGTAAGCATTCTAATGAATGTGGCGCTCAAGACCGGCGCGCGTTTCTCGCTCACTTGTATCTAATCCTTAGTTACACTGTTAGAAATGCTTCCTTTATATGTAAACCAAGCTCGTGACTATAAACGATATTAAAAGTAACGAATGATTTAACTGAAAATTAAGTTACAGTAGTTACTTAAATGTAATAAACATATACATTATTGGGTCAATTCTAAGCAAAAAAAATCGTAAGATTCGTATAACGTGTTCTCGTAAAACTTGTAAGATTATATTATGACTATAGTATTCTAATTTTATGCGTATGTATCGTAAGACGTACGATTATTCGTAAATATCTAATTTCTTGTAAATTTTATGATTAGTTAAAAGCTGTCTGTAAAAATATTGTACAGGGTGGGCCATCTATTGGTACGTTTTTACAGAGTGGGCCATCTATTGGTACGTTTTT